GTCACCTAAAAATAATGTGAAACAATTTTATGCCTAACTACAGTCAATATGTAAAATATTTAGAATTAAGTTAACAAAAATGTGTACCAACTATGTGAAGAAAACTGAAATTTTTTACTGTGCATGGTAAAAACAAAGTTGAATAAATTGAGTGAAATACAAAGTTTCTGAATTAGAGGATTTTCAATTTTTAATATGTGAATTCTACCCCAAATTGTTCTGAATTTAGGTGAACATAATGAGGATACTAATGGGGGAGATATTAAAATGCAACTCGATTATTCTAAAATTTTTAGAAAGCAAAACCATGCTCAAAATCACCAAACCAATTTTGAAAACAAAGAGCAATATGGGTACTTTCCTTATAAGATAGTAGTGTTTACTATAAAGCAATGATAATTCCATTAAGTTTTTTCCTACTGGTATTGAAATAGTGAGGTGAATTCATAGAACAGAATAGAACAATATGTAGATGTGTATCGACGAACCTTAGGACCATAAGTTGTGTAAAGGTGTTAGGACTGCTCTGGATGTTTAATTTACTGATATACATTGTTAATTTCTAAGGAGTTATTATACACAATAGTTATTAGGCTTATTTGACCTTAGAATTCTTTTTAAAATGCATCTTGCAAGATAAATCTCTTTCTTACAAATTTGAGGAAAGCCAGAACAGAAATAGATATACACATATGTGTAATATTTTAAAGCTCCAAAAATGGGATATCTCAATTCATTTGGGAAAGGATAAATTCAATAAGTAGAATTTAGACAGTGGGTAAAAATTTAAAATAAATTTCAGATGTATTAACATTGAAATTTAAAAACTGAAAACATAAAAGTAGTAGAGCACACTAAGATGAATACATACTGCCAATAAACCTCTGACTAAAGGTCCAGCCTCATTACCATCCTCAATTATCAAAGAAACTAAATCAATACATAATTTTTGATTTAGGAGATTGGCTGATATATGTATCTTATATTCACATATTCATAAAAACTGAGCACAAACTGAGCTCACATTTCCTTTTTTATCCTCAAGTTAAGACTGCAAGAGCCTCCATCTTGCTTGGCTACAGAAAATCCAGTGTGTGCCCCCCCCACCCCCCGCCAAAGTCATCACCCCACAGATCTCTGAGAATCCCTAGGGCATGTGTTCCCAGAGCTTGATTCTGGAGGTCACCTGACCTAGCCAGTGGTCTGGCTCCGGATCACTGCTCCACACCTGTGCCGGCCTTCTCTTCCTTTCCTTAAGCCACTTCAATGTTACCTGAGGAAACAGATTATAGTTAATTCACCTTGGGCTGGATGAGACCAAACTATATTAATGAGATATACTGAACAGCAGGGAAAACCAAATGGGCATTACAATGCAGAAAACATGCAAACAACAGCTCATAGATAAGAATCTACCCTGGCTTCTCCACCAGGGTTGCCTGCTGGTAGCTTTTCTCCTTAATCTTGGGAACCACCATGTCTCTAAATTCTTGGGCCACTACTAATACGAGTCCCCTCGAACATAGCTCTCCTATCCAAGGCCCCTTCTTAAAGATGAAGAGAATAGATTTTTTTCTTACTTGATATTTGCATAATCAAAAGGTCAATTAATTCTTTTAGAACAAAAAACCAGTCTGTTCTCAAAGGGATTTTATGCCGTGCTCTAATTAACTTGTCTATGTGCATGTCTGTGTTATTTCTGGGAGGCAGTGACTGAGAGAGTGGGCTTAAACCTTGGCTCTGCCTCTTCTTACCTAAATGGACTTGGGCAGATGACAGAATTTCTATGTACTTTCATTTTCTCTCCTATAATATGGGATTAAAAACACCTATCTTTGGTTGTTGCAAGGATTAAGTAAAATAATGGACTTAAACAGGATGTCATAGTGATGGTTCCATAAATGGCAAGCATAACAGTAATGATCTTTAAACTGAACATACATTCATAAGCAGCACATTTTAGTGTAAACATGAATCAAGCTTGAACATGAACTCTGATTCTAGAGGTCAGAGAAAGGTATTTCAATAATTTATCAGTTTCTTCAGAGAATTTGCACCTTATTTTGTATCATTTGTCTAAACACTAAATACAAGCTAAATGGAAAAAAATGAGACAATGTCAAAACACAAAGGCCTTAGAATATCACCCATACTTTTGCGCCACAGAGATAACCACTGAGAATACTTTGGTAATCTTTCTTTTCTTTCTTCCCTCTTTCTTTCTTTCTTTTTTTCTTTCTTTCTTTCTTTCTTTCTTTCTTTCTTTCTTTCTTTCTTTCTTTCTTTCTTTCTTTCTTTCTTTCTTTCTTTCTTTCCTTCCTTCCTTCCTTCCTTCCTTCCTTCCTTTCTTCCTTCCTTCCTTCCTTCCTTTCTTCCTTCCTTCCTTCCTTCTCTCTTTCTCTTTCTTTCTTTCTCTCTCTTTCTTTCTTCTGTCTGTCTGTTTCTGTTGCTGTCTCTGTTAATCAGCCAGGTGCCAGTACAAAACAGATGGCACACTCAATTGGGATGAACTGATGAGTTTCATAAAAAGACTATCTGTAAAGATATGAGTTGCTTGTAGGGAAACTGGAAGGAACAGGGGTAACTGGAAGGATCAGGGAAAACAGCAAGGAGTCTGACTTGACCTAGAAGCCTAATGGGGTAATGAAAGGAAGGGGTCCAGGACCTGGAGATGGAGAGACTGTATGAAGAGAGCTGCCTGGCTTTTTGGCAGAGAAGTACAACAGGACCAGACTGGCTTTGCAGAGAGGGATCTGGAGGAATAAACTCTTGTGCCTCCTTGGCCTCCACCCTACTGTCAATCACCATTTAGTTCTACTCCTAGATCAGCCCAGCTAGAAGACAGGACACAAGAGACAAGGCTATCATGCCTACATGTCTGGGATTCCTTGATGGATGCAGAGCTAAAGGGTGACTTTAAAATCTGGTATGAGAATAAGGACACTTTTGAGAGTGAGAAGGAGTGAATTACTCATGATGCCAATGAATCCAGGACTACAGCATAAACTGGAATGGTCCCAGGAAACCATGCCCTGTCACCATCCTGTGAAGTAAAGTTGAGAGTAAATCTGGAGAGAAAATAAGTCTCTCTCTCTCTCTCTCATTTCTCTGTTATGAATTATTTTCTATAGATGCATGTTTCCTAAAACAAAATTTTCATCATATAATTCTCTGTATTATGGTTATAAAAAATTGACCCCATCTTTGTATATTTAGACAATTTCTGATTTTTTATTATAATGCTGTAATGAACATCACAGACATATATCACTGCATATCTCTAATTTTTTAACAAATATTACTTGAGCAATGTGCTTGCTACCCACTGAATATACAAAGATGAGTACATGTAGTTCTTGCAGGTTAGTCTAGTGGTGGAGACAACTTCCAACAGATGCCTTACCAGCGGGAATATGGGACTTGATACACTAACAAAGCTACCATCCTCTGAGAGGCAGAGAGGAAGAACAGAGTCAAGAAACCAGGCCACACCCACGGTCTTTGCTTCTACTAGAATTTGTGGCTTTCCCTGGGTTCCCATGTAGCTCCAGTTTCTATTCCATGGCAGTCATTCTTCCTGCCCATGGCTCCTTCAGTCCATTCACAGTTTCTAGGCTACAGTTGGAGGATGGGGGTGTCTTCTTTTTATCCAGTTCCTTTCCCTTGGCAGGCAGCTGCATGGACAGGCTTGGCTACTCTGGTCCCTTCTGGCCCAGACTAAGGGCAGAGATATGTCTTTCTAGCAGATAGTTTGGGATCAGAGAGTCTGGGGGTGAATTACAAGAGTGGTAGACCAAAGTTTAGGGAACCAACAGAACGAATAGAGGAAGAACATGAAGTAAAGAATGAGTTGCATCATTGTCTTGGCAAGTAAGAGAGGCATTGGGCCATGGCTTATTGTTAGGCTGTGTGTATATGGGGTGGGCTGAATTTGACTTAAAGAGCCCTGCCTGGCTCTGTATATCCAAATGTGGCCTCTCTTATGAGCCACCCATGAAATTTTTTGTCAGAATGGACAGATTGGCTTTTATTTCTTGCCTTCCTTTCTGATCTCATTGTCTCAATTCCTACCTTTGCTCATTCATTGGGTACCTCTGATTTTCCTCTAACCTGCTGTCTCCTCGCACCACACATTCTAGGTGTCTGCACTGCCTTCTGTCTGGAATGCTCTTCTTCCAGATCTTTGCATAGCTGGCTCCTTATCCTGTAGGTCCAGCTCCAACCCCATTTCTATGAGAGGTTTTTATCCTACATCTTGTTAAAAAGAAAGCTATAAGCCCCCAAATGTAATTACTAGTGCCAAAGCCCATGACACCAAATGGAGATTTAATACCTGACTTAATTGCTATCTTAACCTCTCTCAGAAATAGAATCTTAATAACCAGTCTGAAATTTTCCAGTTAACATGAATGACGTAATCTCTCATGTGGGCCCTCTCCATCCCTTCTTCCCATAGAAAGAAGAAGCAATCCATCTGATAAAAGCCCTTGCAGTTCCTCTCCCACACCATAAAAAAAGAGGTCCTGGTCTAAAAACAACCTTTTCAGTTCAATTTTTTTAAGGTTTCATTTGTTTATTTTGAGAGAGAGGGGAAGAGAGAAAGAATGGGAGAGAAACATCTATGTGCAAGAGAAACATCAATCGGCTGCCTCTCGTGTGCCCCCAACCAGGGACCTGGCCCAAAACCCACACATGTGCCCTGACCAGGAATTGAACCAGAGACCTTTCATTTCACAGGCTGGCACTCACTCCACTAAACCACACAAGCTAGGGCTAAAGATAACTTTTTAAATGTAAAAAACATTCACCTTGTTTTAGCAAGTAAAACTTCCTTAAATATGTAGTTTCATTATATCTCTTAAGGATTATAATTCATGTTACTGCAAAAACATTCATGATATGAAGAGTTAAAAATGTGTTTCTCCCCTAATATTAGGTCATGATACCATTATGAAGGCTTCAAAGGGAAAGTTTTTTCATATGCTGGATTCTAAATTTCATTATTTTTCTATCAGGTCCTTTGCTTTGGAAATATAGGCATTCATGACATCTTCTTTCAATAATTCTTTTTGGAGGTTCCATGCTTCCCACTTAGTTTTGCCTTTTAAATTTGACATTCCTGGACACTCAATATGGATGTCTCCAATTACAGACTGTTTGTAGAGCCCGTAGAGTTCTTCCAGTTCTTCATCATCTGGCCTTGTTTTCAGCTTCCTCACATCTTTGGCTGCCTGATCAAAATCAGCCTGCAGGGACATGGTGGTGACACCCTTCCACTGCCACACTCCAGATGCTTATTTCCTTTTTGGTTCCATTGTAAATGGTTCCTCGCCTCACCCTTCTTTCCTTCCATTTTGCACAATCCCTGGGAACACAGTGCTAGGTGCTAGGTGGGATGCTGCCCAACTCGTGACTCACTTAATAGAGTCAATTAGATCTTTAAATTTACTAGGTTGAATTGTGTTCTTTAACAATTCTAATTTAGTTTATCTCCTCCTAGACACTACCACAGTAGTGTCATGTTCCTAAAAACTTGTCACCTACTCAAATTGCCTTGCTTCTCTGGTGACCTGCTTACCAAGCAGCTACCCTGATGTGAGCCTCAGCCCCATAGGTGTGCCTGTCTTATTCTAGCTTCTCTCTCTCATACATGGAAAGCTGTCTGGGGCAGAGATCATGCTTTGTGTTCAACTCTGGCTGGATGAATGCCTGGTGGGTTTGCTGCTGAGACCCTTGCTCTGAGAGCTAGGTATTTTGTTTCCATTGTAGGCAATGTGTCCATCTTCTAGTGATTTCTTTAACTAGGTAAGCATGTCTTTCAATGATGTAAGTACAATGAAAAATTTCTTTTGAAGGGAATTTCCATAAGAAAGCTAATAAATAGAAAACTGCCCTCTTTTCTTCAGGATACTGACTGATTATCTTCCCATAGATAAAATAATGACACTAATTTAGGAAGCAGATGACTACTCCCAGACACATTATTTGCCTTGAAACTGCACCTTGGGTTAATTTAATATGGGCATAATTTCAAACATCTACTTTCTAATTTATGAGAAATTTTTTTATTTTAAATATTTAGATTTTTGACATTTTTTTCTGTCCTTTTTATCCGTAGCAAGACAAAAGGCCAAAAGAAATATGGTTTCAAAGAATCCTGGGCTGATTTCACACGGTTAAGTTTTCTTAGTACAAAAATGGGTAATATGAAGTGTCCATTTGAAAGCAGTAACTCGGAGCCCATGTCATACATAATTCTAGTCACTTGCCCATGTATTTAACAATACTATACAGATGTTCATAGTTAAGATAGATAAATATGAGACAGCATTTATCTGTGGATGAAAAAGGGGTCATATACTAAACCTGAAAAGCTGAGGAGAGCCCTGCATGTTGGCCTTACAAACCCAGGGACTAAAACTAACCACATAAAGCCCTGGCTGGTGTGGCTCAGTGGATTGAGTGCTGGCCTGAGAATCAAAGCGTCGCCAGCTTGATTCCCAGTCTAGGGCACATGCCTGGGTTGTGGGCAAGAACCCCAGTAGGGGGGGACGAGAGAGGCAACCACACATTGATGTTTCTCTCCCTCTCTACTCTCTCCCTCCTCATCTCTAAAAATAAATAAATAAAAGCTTTATTAAAAAAGTAACCACATAAGATGGTCTAGATATGAAAATTCCCAACTAAAACAAGCCATGACAGGTAGGCCGGTAGCTTTCTTGACAAAGGTCAGTCTTCACCTTAAGTGAGCTTGTCTATTGTCCTTTTGCATCTAAGATAACAAACCTTTGGAATGTCAGAGTAATCTTTTCCAGACCCCTCAGGGCACCACCTCCACACCAGAGCAGGAGACCACAGAATCTCTCACTGGTATCTTGTTCACTGAATACCATTTCTATGTGCTGTAAATGCTAATTAATTATCTTATACCCACCAATGTAAGAATAGTATTCGTCTTTCCATTTTACTTTTTATTCAGTCCCAGAGATTTCTGCCCTCATTTGCTTTCTCCCATCCTCTTACTCTACCACCAATAGATCTCATGTAACCCTCTTTACACCTCCTCCTTCGTTTTTTTTTTTAAGATTTTATTTATTTACTTTTAGAGAAGGAAGGGAGGAAGAAAGAGAGGGAGAGAAACATCAATGTATGGTCACCTCTCACCTGCCCCCTCTGGGGACCTGGCCCACAACCCAGGGATGTGCCCTGACTAGGAATTGAACTGGCGACCCCTTGTTTTGCAGCCCACGCTCAATCCACTGAGCTACACCAGCCAGGACTCACCTCCTCCTTTGATTGTAATATATAAAATAAGCTGCAAAACTGCCATTCTTAGAGCCTTTTCTCAATCCATGGAGATTTTGCTTCCCAGCAATTGTCAGCAGTTTGATTAAATAAATTCATAAAAATTCTCCACAAGTTTGGACATTTGCTACATTGATATACCCAATTAAAAAATATAAAAATTAGAGAATTTTAATAAAAATAGCTCCTAGAGCAATTTTACAGCAACATAAAAGAAAATAGACTCTCCGCACCACTCCACCGCACCGCCGGTTGCCTTGTCCTCTGGCATTATTTTACCTAGAGGCTGGTTGTGTGTGCTTTCCTTAATTCTTGTTCACTAATTGAATCTCAATAAAATGTAATAAGATATGCAAATATGGGAAGAACGCTTTTAGCTGGGCACACTTACAGGGAAGGACATCTTCTGCCGCCGTTTGGGAAGGAAAGTGATGCTTTTATAGCGGACTGGAGTGCTTTGGTGCACTCCCACTCAGGGTCACCTCCAGTCTCTGCGCCACCGGTAATGGCACTGCATATGTGGATGGCGCTGGGGGAAGAGCGATGGCACATATCAAACCCCTTTTAATCTTTCCCCTTTATGTCCCTTGTTCTCCCCTCTCCTTTTTTTTAAAGAACCATGCAGATGTAACTGTAAAATTTTTATTCTAATGAGAGAACCGAGAGCTTGGGAGAACCCACCTGGAAAATCCTCTTATTTTTAATATCTTTCCCGCTTTCTTTATAGAAAGCTCATCAAGTGTATAGGTTAGGGAGAACTTAAATGAAAGTAATAGGGAACTAAAAATGAGGAAAATACAGCAGCAACAAATTACAATGGAAATACCAATTAAAAAGGAAAATAGAGTAAAAAATCTAGCAATTTCTCTAGAATCTGTGCAATTTCTCTAGAATCTGTGCATTTCTCTATTGGGAAATGTTAGTCAACTTAGAGGAATCTGTGATACCTTTAAAAATAACTCAATGGTGATATTTTCTTATCTTAGGTATTTGGAACTTTCACCTTGGAAATCACTGGACAGACTTTTAATTTTTAATAACAACAGATGAATGGGAAGGTCTATAGGGTATTTACTGGTAATGAGTAACTACAGGAAGTTACTCAGAAAGAACCTATAGAATAGGAAAATCTGGGATTTTGTGGCATTTTTTCCTCTTAGAACAGAATACATTCTTTTCTTGTGAATTTGAACTATAGGAAATCTGCGTTACCATCTCCTAGCTAAATTTAGGTAAGTACTTAAGAAGAATTTTAAGAAAGTTACAACTTAAACCTTGACCTGCTAGGTTTGTGACACCTGAAAATGATTTTAATTCACTCGTTTATTTCTTCCCTAACTAGTTGTGAAAAACACTGATTTTGGTGACAGTACATCTGGGTATGAAACTTTGTTTTATCACTTCTGAACTTTCACCATTAAAAAGTTAGACAACTTTTGTGACAACTTTTGTGACCTTTCTCATCTGCAAAAAGGAGATAATAAAATCTACCTCAAAGGTTGTTGTGAATTTCATTAACTATACTATGTTTGAAAAAAGTTTGTAATTAGTAAGCACGTAATAAATGTTAGAGGATAAATATCAGTTTTATTATTACTATTTGCTGTTTGTTAAAAGAATTTTTTGTCAGACCCCCTGCCAGAAGGGAATAAAAGGTGGGAATAAAAAATGAGTGATGATATCCCCCATCTTTTCCCTAACTTCTGACAGTTCAGTGTGAAACAGAGCTTCGTAAATGGGATTCCACAGATAGGTGTCAGGGAGTCCATGAATTCCACATAGAATTTTGGGGGAGAAAACAATTTCACTAATTCAATGAGAAAATTTGGATGAGAATTCCCACCCCTCCTCCCCAAGGAGAGGATTTTTCAGCTTTATCGGAATATCATGGGGCCAGTGACCCAAACAAAGCAAAGGAAGGGCCATTGGTCTATAAAGATGATTTTGTAATACATGAAGGGGACCTAGGAGCCTCTCCTCAGACCCAAATGGAGGCAGCAGCTGATGGGTCTTAAGGTGTCATGGAAAATTAGGGATTCTTTAGAGCCCTAGTACTATTTTATTACAAATTTTTTTTCATTTCTTCACTCTCTTCTGAAAATCCCCATCATAGTTTTTACCACGTAAGCATGCACACACATATCCCTATCTATGTCAATGAAAAAGGAATTGAGACTAAAAAGCTCACCAGAAGTACTTTCACTTTCACAAGGTAGGGTTTTCTGAATCTTCCACAAAACATCATCTAATGCCTTCCCCATCCTGTGCGTGACTGGATGGTGTGATGTTGCAATCCCCTAGCAGGTGGTGAGTTCCCAGCAGTCAAGGATGAACTTAGTCATGTCCTTTGATCCCCATTGTTTATCACGGTAAGTGGTCGATAAAAGTTTTGGTTCTTAACTGAACTTTAAAAAATCCCCAGGGATTTTAGATAACCCAGGACAGTACTTTAGTTTTAAACAAAATTTATTTTTCTTTTAAAATACAATTCAAGATATGGAGATATGATAGGCCAGTAAGCCAGGACAAGTAGAATAGGGGAACTGAGACAAACAGCTGAACAAACTGAGCAATTTACAGCCAGATATAGAGAAGGTCACCTCCCTATAGATAACATCCAGGCCCCAGTTATATTTCAGCTCCAGGCCCAGAAAAGCAACAAAAGCAGGACCAGCTACAATAACTAACGATCCCCTCCCCTGGCACTGACCAATCAGCAGAGACCACAACCCTGAAAGAGCACACCTGAAAAACTGATGAATATTCTGCTGAAAACCTCCCTTGAGACCTCTCCTAAGATTCTCATCTGCAAGAGAAAGATAAAAGCCTCAAGACAAAGGACCCAGCATGCGTACTCTCCCTCTGGGGAGCAGCCCATGGCATTGTCTTCTCTGTCTTCTTCCCCACAGGCACACATCTCCTGAACTGCAAGAGTCCCCATGAGACTTGCAAC